CCACAAATAACACCAGTACTCGGGGTTCCGTGAGGAGCTTCACAAGAGAAGGGGCCCAGAAAAAAGTCCTGGAGTGATCAGGGAGGACTACCCCGGAGGAGGTGGCATTTTGTAAAGTGACTTAAAGAGCGGATAGCATAGAGAGTAGAGATCACGAGATGTGATTCCCCCCCAGACAAAGGGAATGAACTGAAGGAGGACAGGGGCAGGAATTTTAGGCCTGGAAGAGGCTAATCAAGGAGGAAAGAAGGTCCATAATAGGAGAAGAGCAAGAGCCCAGACTACAAGGTGGAAGGGGGTGACTTGTGGGGGTCCCTGTAGGGAAGTTTTCTGGGGAGGACTAGGTTGTTAGTGAAGGCTGTCTGATTAAAGTGGTGTTTTAGAAAAAGAATCTGATCCTGGAGGGCAGATGCCTGGGAGGCAACTGGGAAGTGACCAGAACCTAAATGGGGTGTGAAGAGGAGGCAGAGAAGTGAGGAAGGGGGGCCAGAGCCTGACGGCCACTGGATGAGGGCAGGGAGAAGTCGGTCAGTCCACGGATGCTGGTTCCGCACCTACCATGTGCCAGAGGCTGTGTTAGATGTTGGGGGTACGGTGGTGAGCCAGACAGACGAGGGCCCCTCTCGAGATGCTCCTACCATCCTGGGACAATAACGTGCAAACAGTAACATGACATAATTTCAGATAAATGCTGTGAGTAGGGTAATGAGAGAGCGAGAGAGGCAAGGGGATCCGACAGACTGAAAAGGCTGCTTTTGTCAGGGTGCTCGAGAGGAGGCCTTGCTAAGGAAGTGCTGTTCAACCTGCAGAGGCCTGGGTGCACTGAGCGCCTCAGCCCTGTGCCAGAGTGTTCCAAGCATGGGGGAAGCATGAGTGAACAAACCAGACAAGAAGCCCTGATTTTCTGGGGCTTACACTCTCCCAAGGGGAGACAGGGAATAAATAAAAAATAATAATAAATAAGTAAATTTTATATTATGGCAGAGGGAGATAAGAGCTATGGGGAAGAGAACACCATTTTTTTTCTAATTTTTTTGCATTTACAGATAATGCTGCAATGGACATTTTCATGCAAAAATCTTTTTCATGTGTCTAGGATTTTTCCTAAGAATAGATTTCAAAAAGTAGAATTACTCCATTTTAAAGGCATTTAATACAAAGTATCAAATTGCTTTTCATTGAGGTTATACCAATTTATTCCCCCACCAACATATATCAGGGTGTTTACTTCACTACACCCTCACCAGGGTTGAGTATTACGAGTTTTTTAAAATGCTAATATGCTATGTCTTTAATTGGTATTACTTTGATATTGAACATTGAACTTTGGCTTTTTATTATCTGTGGGAGAAAGTATCACAAAGCGAATTAATAGTGTAAGCAAGCTATATAATACAGTAGTTCTTCCTGGTTCTAGTTCTTCCTATATGTCTGGGACCCAGAGACTGAATGATTTACCAAGGTCACAGTTCAGGGGGCACCTTTTACTTCATATGGATTCACATTAGCACCAACCTTTAAAAATAATTATTTGTTAAAGTTCTGTTTGGCAGGGTTGCTCCTTAGGAAATTCTAGCTTCTATTACAGTCTGAACTTGAAAGTAAGAAACACCTGCTCTACTTTAAACAATTTCATACTTTAGGTTTTTCATTGAAACCCTTGTAATTCCAAAATTAGTGGGTTTTTCTCTACTTTATATAAATGAAATATGGGGAAGCCATTCAGGCACTCCTTGGCAAGGACGGTCCAACTTACCCTTGTGTGTGTTGTTGCCTCGCTGGTGACTCACTGCTGAGCTACGGAATCCACATGCCCCCCACCCCTCCCTGAGCCCCCTTCTCACCTCCCTGGGGCTTGGAGGTGGAGGGCCCTCCCCTGCCCAGCCCTGGGAAGGTGCTAAGAAGGGGCCGTGTTGCAGAGAGCCACCCGAGGTGGAACTCAACACAGGGCTCTTCCCCTAAAATGTAGTGTGACACTTCTTGTTGGCTTTGTCTGTTTTACTGGTGTGTGCGACCTTTTGTAGGCTGTCTTGCCAGCCAACCATTGCTGTTAACATTGGTCCTATGGGACGGTGCCTGTCAGGTTTCAAACCGACACTTGGACCTAACCCTTTGTGAGTTGGGAGACTGTGTGCCGCAGGGAGCCTGGTGACACTGGATGCTGTTCTTCCAAGCCCCGGCCCATCTCCCCTTCCCCTGTCTCTCCCACGGGCCTCCTGGCGTAGCCTCGTCCAAGCCATGGGGTGGGGAAATCAAACTGGACGTGGGAGAGGTGCGATCTGGACTTGAGTTCTAGCTTTGCTGCTGAATAACATCAGACTTGAGTGCCCAGCGTGGCTGTAAAACTTGAATTCCACATTCATGTGCGTATATGAAATCCACGCGCTCTGTGTACACTCTGTGCGTGCTGGAGATCCACAAGACATGAGATGTTCTCACTGTAGCTCTTACCAGGATTTCTAAGATTTGTGTGGAATTTCATAAGAATTTATAAACATGAACATTTCTGCTTCTAAGGGTATTTACTAGTCTACTAGATGCCTTAAAAAGTTTTGAAAATTTTTAAAAATTAAATTTGAATGTGTTTTGAAAAACAGCACCTCCTCTCCCCAGCTTCTCCCCAGGGAGAATGGGGAGAGCTGGCCCCTTTTTGTTCGGGCAGCCCACGGACCACACAGGAGGGCAGTTTGGAGAGCTCTTTTCCTTCACTTCGAGGAAGTTGGGGGTCATGGAGCCTCATGCCCAGTGACACACTCTGCGTGAGGGCCCTCCACTCCCCTCTTGCTCCTCAACCTCAGCAAACCACGAGCTCAAACCCAGGTTTAAACATATCTGGAGATAGCACAAAACCTGGAGTCCAACTGCCTGTGTTCCATCTCCACAGAAACACTTACTGTGTGACCTTGGGCAACTGCTTAGCCTTTCTGATGCCTCAGTTTTCCCACCTGTAAAATGGGGGATAATGTTTCCACCCACCTCAGAGTGTTGTGGGGATTAAACGAAACAGTTGTGCATGTAGAGGGCTTTGTACCACACCAGGTAAGTAGCGAGTTCTCAGTAAATGCTGGGGGCTATTATCTGATTTTTTTCCCCCACATTTACTCTAAATTTATGGGACATAGTTAAATGATGTATCTATGCTGGTGCTCCACAACTTCACAGAAATGGAGAAGCTTTGGATGATGTTGAAACTGACACTGAAATCAATTAAACGTTTAGAATATAGCCTTCTAAGATTGCTACACAATTTCAATTTTATTTACATAGAAAACATAGGTCTAAAGGGTGGCTTAATTTCTTATTCTTAGAAAGACGGCAACGTTCTATTGGAGAGTTGATAGTTCAGTTCTTTCCCTGTATCCCTGGAAATAAAGCCACAGGTTCCAGCCTTACATTTGATCAGTCAGGACATTTTAGAAACAAAGACATAGTTTAGGACTGAATAGATGGTTAGCTGCAGGATGGGGAGCTGGGGAAAGCTGTGCAGGTTTCTGCCCTTGAGCCTCTTCAACAGGGGGAAGGGTCACTTGCCTGGCAGGGCTGACACAGCTGTGCCCCAGTCCCCTCAACCAGGGCTTCTCTTCCGCTGCTCCCCACCCCAGGACCTGTTCACAGTCACTGTCACGTGCTCTCTGAAGGTGTTGCATTTCCACCTGTTGCTGGGTAATGAGTGAAATGTATCCCAAAATACTCCCTCCTTCGTGTTCCCCTTGGTTGCAAAGGAAGGGGGGAGTAGTCTTTGCCCCCGCATCCCATATATGCATAAATATACATGTGTGTTCCTACATCATGGAAAGGAAATCTTGGTGGGGAGGGAGGGGCTCTGAGGGGCTTCAGTGAATGAAATGCTGGTGGGGGTGGGGAAAAGCTATGTCAGGACTCAGCCATTTCCCAGAGAAAGCAGACTTTCCCCATCACTGTGCCTCTGGCTCCCTTGCCCCATCCCAACCATGTCATTGAGCCAGGCCTAGGCCCTATATCACATCAATTGGTCTCCTCAGCCCTCTGAATAAGAACCCTCAATGCCATTTGCTAGGGCCACTACATACAGTTGTCCAGGTTAAACTACATGAGGACACCTGGGCAAGGGGGCGTGTGGGAGGTAAAACCCAGCTAGAGTCCTACTTGCTAGGCTGTGAACCCTGGTGCAGGGCTGTGTCTGCCTAGAAGGAGGGGCATCTTTTTCCAATTTGTACAAAGGGCTAGTGATGGCCCTGGTGATATCTAATCTGAGCCCCCCTCCTTCACCCCCAGCCCCCATAGCAGCCTGTGTTGCTGCCGAATTCTTTGGAGATTGTCTTCCTTGGCCATGACCTCCAGGAGTCCAAGGGAGCTGTAAAATGCACAAGGGGGGATGTGCTGGCCTCACTGATTGCGAGGGACAAGGAAGGAGATGCTTCATTATTTCATTCACTGTATTGAGTGCCATCTCTGGGCAGGCACAGTGCTACGTGCCGGGGATATGCATCTGGCCATAGACAGGGCCTGCCTGCAAGGACCCACAAATAGAGCAGTGTAGTAACCATGGTGAGTACCATGATGGCCGCAGGCACAGGCTGCCCGGGGCCCACAGAGGAGACATCCCCACCACACTGGAGGGACAGGGACACTTCACTAAAGGAGGTGAGCCTGAGCATGGCCTCCTAGGATGCATAGGAGCTGGCTGGGGGCGCTTCTCTGGGTGTTGTCTGTTGCGCCAATGGAACCGCGAACGAGCACTGCTGTGCTCAGCAGAAGTGCACGTCCAGAAGGCCCAGTAAGTCTGCACGATGTCTGACCTCTCTCACTGGGCTTCCTACACTGCGGGGAAAAATAGGTCTCTAGCTTTTAAGCTTTGAAAATTCATTATTAGCAAAAGAATAAATTGCCAATCATTCTCCTTGTCTTGGGGGTTATATTTCTAGGTTTTTAAATGATTATGTTAAAAATTGGTAGACCCAAGGAGCTGTCGGGCCTCTTGTGACAACATGCTAAGTTTCTTGTCTTTTCTCCTCTCCCAGATACTTACTGGAGCAGGATTTCCCAGGCATGAGGATTGGTCCAGAGCCCACCACCGATTCCTTCATCGCTGTGATGTACGGGGAAACCGAGGGCAGCACCCCAGGGAATGCTCTAGTTGTGGACCCCAAAAAGCCGTTTCGAAAGCTTAGTCGCTTTGGAAATGCTTTCCTGAATCGGTAAGGACCAGCAAACTGCCATCTCTGGTCGGGTTGTTTTAAACCTTTTCTTTGGATTGTTGCCAGTTACATGTAAAGGTTCAAAAACAGAAGAACGGAGCGTGTCTGTTCCAGAAGAGAGAGGCTATAGAGAATATGCTTATCGTATTCAGATATTTGAAAGATTATCATAGGAAATGGTCATTTATCCCTATTCTGGGTGGCTTCAGAGGGCAGAGCTAAGGCCAAGGATTGGGCATATAAGGCCACACAGTACAAGGAACAAATTTCTAATAATTTGAGCTGTACAAAAATAAATCAAGTTGCCTTGTTAGGTAGTGAGCTCCCCGTCACTGGCAATGTTAAGTGGTGGCTGGATGGCCACATCTCAGGCATAGTGTGCTGGGGCCTCCTTCCTGCACAGAGAGCTTAGCTGAGAGGACCCCTTAAGTTTACCTGACACCCAGATATAGTCTGTTGATTACTCCAGGACAGGTCACCCCCTGACACCCCCCCCCACTCCCCCCATCCCCCTCTCCCTCCACCCCGGCTGTCCCTTATGCTTCTTACTCCCATGCTTTGAGCTGCTTCCTTATTCATTAGAATAGGGCAGGGGAAATAGAGTCAAAACAACAGAAAAAGTTAATTTTGCTACATGGTTGTTATCTTGTGGATGTGAAGTTGTGGAATCACTGATGTTCTGTCTTTGTTGGAGATGTGTTATATTTGTACTGTCCCCTGACCTTTCCCCAGAGTTCCCGGTGAAATGGAGGGGTGCGGGGGCAGAGAACAAGCCAGCAGTTTCTCCTGGATGCAGCTCTGCCCCTTCGGACATGATATGCCCCTACCTCCCTCCCCGCCTCCTCTTTGCCACTCCTCCTGGCCGTTTTTTTAAAATACCCTTTTCTTGGGGCTGGCCCGGTGGCGCAGGGGTTAAGCGCGCATGCTCCACTGCGGCGGCCCGGGGTTTGCAGGCCCGGATCCCAGGCGCCCACCGACACACCGTTTGTCAAGCCATGCTGTGGCGGCGTCCCATATAAAGTAGAGGAAGATGGGCACGAATGTTAGCCCAAGGCCAATCTTCCTCAGCAAAAAAGAAGAGGATTGGCATCGGATGTTAGCTCAGGGCTAGTCTGCCTCACCAAAAAAAAACAAACCCTTTTCTCTTTCTTCTTTCCTGTCATTCCTCTTGCCCTTCCGTTCTCCTCTTTTATGAGTCTGCTGCTTTAGACTGGTTGGTCTGGGGAGCAAGCGGTAGGAGGTGCAGAGCCAGGGAGGGGTCATCCTGCCCCTTTAGGGAGAGGTTGGACTAGAGCCGATAGACAAGAGACTTGAACCGCACTTCTCCTTTTTAGATGTTTTAAAAAATAGGAAAGGATCCTCCCAGAGGCTGAGGCACCTCATTGCACAACTCCAGGGGGCACCATTCACAAGGATTGTGGAAGAAATGATGTGCCTGGATGCTGTGTGGTGGCTCTACCGAGGGCGGCCCAGGCGACTTCCACAGGTGCCTTCTGTGAACAGCCAAACTCTCTTGGGACCTGTGCTCTCCTTTAAGGGCTTTGTTTTGCTCCTATCGCAAATCAAAGAAAGCATCCAAGTGGCAGCAAGGGAAAGTGGCGGTAGGATACACAGAAATGCACAGATGATGTAGATGGAGTCATAGAGAAGTTCCATCTTGTTGCTGACAGTGATTTGCAGAATTGTGTTCAGATGAGTTTCTCCACCTTCAGGATTCTCTCCTCCAGAAGGAGTTTACTCCTCAACTCCAGGGCAGCCTTGGTTGGCACCAGAGCATCTCCTTGTGGGAGAAGTGAGGTTGAGCTCGGGTGGGAGAACACCAGAGGGTCCCTCAAGACAGAGTGGGCCACAGTTGAGGGGAGTGGGACAAGAAGCTCCCCCAGCAGGGCCTCCCAGGGAGCCATGGTCACAGGGCAGGCATCAGCCAGGCTTCCTGTCCCACGACTGATCCTAGAAGTTTCCGGAGGCCCTGGAAAGTGCAGGGTACAGGATCCTTCTCCATGGAAGGCTGCCTAGAATCCTGTGGTTTCATTACTGCCCTTAGTTTTACTCTTTTTGTCTGACAAAGGCTTAAAAAAGAAAGAAGCTGCCACTTTTTGCAAATTCCCATTTTGTGAAGTTCAAATTCACAAGGACAAAACCAGGAAGACTGGCTATTGGCTTGTTTTATTTTAGCAGACAATTTACTGTATGAAAAACAAGCATCTGGGGAAGGTTTTGAATGGCAAGTGTCATTATCTCAGCATTTAAAACTTGAAAATAGGGCCGGCCCCGTGGCTTAGCAGTTAAGTGCGTGCACTCCGCTGCTGGCGGCCCGGGTTCGGATCCTGGGCACGCACCGACACACCACTTCTCCGGCCATGCTGAGGCCAAGTCCCACATACAGCAACTAGAAGGATGTGCAACTATGACATACAACTATCTACTGGGGCTTTGGGGGAAAATAAATAAATAAAATAAATAAATAAATAAATAAAACTTGAAAATAATCCATGCATTATAGAATCAAGCGTTAATTAAATTCAGAATATATAGAAAAATAACAGCAAATAATTATATGGCATCCACTCTGTGTCAGATACTGTTCTGAACTTTACTTGTACATTAGCTCTAACTCCTCACAAAAACCCTGTGACGTGGGTGCCACTATTATCCCCAGCGCAGAGAGGAGGAATTGACACATAGAGAGGTTAATTTAACTTTCAGAGGGTCACTCAGCTGATCAGTGGCAGTTCTGGGGTTGGAACCCAGGCCGTCTGGCCCAGAGTCCTGCTGGTGACCACTGCACTGAGCTGCCAAATGGAATTATGTTTCGACTAAGAAAATGTTTCGACTAAGAATCAGTGCCTACTGCCCCCCATCTACCTTTTAAGGCTGTCGTTAATATAGCCCACCAACAAGGATGATGAAGATGATAATGATTACTTTCCAAATTATAGATTAATGATTTCATATACACTATCTTTTCAGGGTTAATAAGACAGATGACACTATGGCCATTTTATAGATGAGAAAACTGAGAGCAAAGAAGTAAAATGACTTGCCCAAGGAGAGGCGGAGACAGGATTAAAATTCAAGTTTCCTCTTCCCTTGTCTCTACCACCCTGCACCTCATGAAGCACCTGCAAAGAGGAGTTTCTGTCCTTCTAGCCATCCTGGTGGCCATGCATATGTGAGGCTCACCTATAAGGATGAACCTCATGTATATTAATAGCGTACTTAAGAGTAAACAGCCTGATTAGGTCGTAGCCACATGACAGTGCTGCTGTTTCATCCAGCACTTAAGTAAGAAAGAGAATCAATTAGTGTAGGGCACAAGAATGTGTGTAAGTAATTATAGCGTCCCTGTGGGGACATCAGCAGGGTTAATGCTAAAGGCAGGCAGACTTCTTTTTACACAGCATACTTTCAGGGAACTAGGTTAAAATACAGTACTTAGTAGGGAAGAGAATTGGTTGTCTGCTGTGGAGAACTTTCTCTCTCTACTCCACTGAGCAACCACCAGTCCCCCCAGGGATAGGTCTCATTATCCTGCCCTCTCATTACAGGGCGCTGGCTTGGACATCGGCCCCCAGGGGCATCTTTAAAAGAGTTTAGTACTTTGCCAGGTGATACCAGATGCTACCTGGAGGGTGACACCAGCCTCAAAGCATTAAGCAAACCAGTGGAACCTGAGTGTCAATCTCCAAGGCTGGTTTCTAAGAAAGTAGCAGGTGGTCTGTAGCGCACCTCTGAGAAATGAAGGCAAATTCCCAAAAAGGCAGCTTCAAATTATAGAAATTCCATACTTGAACTATAGAAGAAGGAGCTGAGTGTAGAACAAAGTGAGTTCTATGGGAACAACTTGAATGTGAATTCTGAAACTCCACTATTCTGCTTTGCATTCGAGAGGAGTTCCACAGGCGGACCTGTCCTGGAGTTGGTCCATGGGAATGTGGTTATTGGAGTTCCCAAGTCTGTTATCAGGAGGCAGTTCCACCTCACAGAGGAGGAAATGGACACACCAACAGCACCCTGAGGGCACGAGTCCTGGGAGATGCCAGTGTGTTTTGGTCAGTTGGAGAAGTGTCAAGAATTGGCATCTGACTTTTCCCCCTGCAGCCTGCTTTTGAATTGGATGTTATGTTTTTCCCTCAATCTACTTTTCTAAAAATGGTAGTCTTTTTTTTAAAATCCAGATAGCTATAGACATTGTTTTTAGTTTAGGGTCTAGTGTAATTTTAAATTGTAGTCTTTCACAGAAGAAATTCTCAGTCTCAGTTACTTCTTCATTGCCTCTTTCTTTTTGAAAAATAACTGTAATCACTGGCCTTAGGAATTGAAATTTTGAAACTTCATTTTGAGCTGAAGTAATCTGAACAGTCCTTCCAGTGCTCCAATCATTTTATCAGGCCTGATGATGGCGATGGTTAAAAAAAACTACTGTCTTAACATTTGTGTAATGATTTAGCAATAATAGAATACATACATGTATTTTTTGTTATACTCTATTTTTACCTCTATGTTTGTAATTAAATGAGGCTTCATTAAACAGACTTTTTTTAGACTATGAATATTATGTAGTCACTTAATACCATTGGAATTTTTTAAAAGCTGACTTAATATGGCACACAGCATCAGTCCAGACACAGGCTGGCTCCACCAGCTCACTTAGCCGCAGAGATTAAGGAAAATAGGCTCTTGCCAAGAATCACTCTTGATTCACCAGCAAAATTGCTGGGGTTTTTTTCATCTGAGAGATTAAAGATTTGATTTGATTTGATCTAAGGGGTAACCATGGGCTTGTTATAGTCTGAATGTGAAAGTAAATTCTTCCTGGGCAGTGGAAGGTTGATCAGCCATTTGTGGCAGGACCATGTCATAATAATTACTGCAGGTTAGTTGTCAAAGTCTTTTTGTATATTGTGTGGTATTTACTGTGCAAACTTAGGAAGTCCTGTCATCTCTCTGGTCTTACTCTCCTCAATAAGGTGAGCTGGGGTGGAAGGAGGTGATTTGAAATAGCTCCATACTCTCTCCGTTGTAAATTTAGATTTATTTGAACCTAATGATGACCTAGGAGTCCTCAGGCTGGTAGATTTGCTCAGAGACCTACACAAAGTCAAAGAGTGAGCAAGCCCAAGTGGGATCTTCTGCCTCCTGTTCACTGCCCCGCCCTCCACCAGTAGGGAGAGAGCGGGTCACACACATGGGTGCTGCTTTGGCAAGGACTTCCAGGGCTGTGGCACGTCACTCCTTTGTTTCAGGATGTTGCCCCCTGTGTGACAAAGGTACACAGTGGTGACTCAAGGGCATGAAATGGCAGGAGCAGCCTAGTAGTCAAGAACCTGGGCTCTGGAGTCAGACTGCCGGGATAGCATCCCAGCCCCACCACTTACCAGCCGTGTAACTTGGCAAGTTGTGATGTGTGACCCCGCTGTGCCCCAGTCTCCTCCTTTGTAGAATGGCGGTACACAGCCTCTACCTCTGAGGTTGTGGCAAAGATTGAGTTAATGTGTACAGAAAGTGCTTAGAACAGTGCCTGACATGCAGAAGTGGTCAGTGAACGTTTGTGCTGTTTATTACTAGATATCCCTGCATTGTTTGGAAATCAAAAGCAGTAGTAAGGGACTCCTGTTTTTTAAAAAATGTTGACCACTGAATTGGAATGCTAGCATCTGGAGGCAATTTTAAGAACTCTAATCCTCTCACCTCCTCGTTTTACTGTGGGGCAGGACTCCTAAGCCCCTGGTCCGAGACCTTACAGCCCAGACCACTCCCTCACCCACCCACTTTCTGTTACCCCTGAGCCTTCCTTGGTTGTGGGGATGACGGGGAATGGAGGTCCAGTGTAGAGTTTGGTCCCCTTCTCCCCTCCTTCTATCAGAAAACAAAATGTATCAGGTCAGCCCTGGGTGAGGGAGACACTTCATAAAAGCGTATGTGAGGCTCCTGGGCTTAACCAGCACGTCTGCATGTTTCATGTGATATGTAGAAGGCAAGGCACAGACACACTTTTTGTTAGTCCCTCCGGGAAGGAGAAGGAAATCCACCTTGGAACAGCAAATCTGTGCTTGGAAACGTTTCAGCAGACGCACGTAAGCAGGGAAGGCCTGACCCATGCTGACTGTGGTATACCCAATAAGTAACTTGTTCTTCACCTTCCTTTCTTAGAGTATAAAAGTATGACAAGATTGCTCTAACAGCATTGCATTAGGGTTTTTTCTGATTACAGCATAACTATAAGAAAACATGCGGTTCTACTCCCTAGAGTATGAGCTGTGCGCCCACATGGGGGTCTGAAAGCTGACTTGTGCTCTGTCTCCCTTGCCCACCCTCCCACCCTACCCCTCCACTTTCTTTCATGGAGTGGAGCCTAGCTTTGCACACACAACCCCAACCACCCCCTCTTGGGGTGCCCCTGGAGAGCTCGCTCCTCCTCCTCTTCCTCCTTCTCCCCCTCATTCTCTCCTCCCCCTCCTTCCTTCTCCCCCTCCCCCTTGTCCTCCCCCACCACAGTTATCCCTCCTGGCCCCTCGCCTGCTCCCTTGTTTATTGTGTAGTGACATCACCATGTCTGACTGCGTCTTGTTTTGTGGCTCACACATGTTGCCTTGGCTGTTGGATCAGGAGGCATGGGAGTTGTTGAAACCTTGTCACTTTGCACAGAGGGAGTGGATAGTTGATACATTTTGAATCCCTCTATTAACTTCACATTAGAATCCAGGGGTTTTGTGTTTCAGAAAAATTGATACTGAGCATGAGCTTGTGTTTTGGAAAGAAGGTCAGCCTCTCACAGGAATATTTTACGTAAAATAGTTTCACATATGCGCAGTTTTTTCCAGCATTGCTGAACGTCTCATGCCGTCTGATAAAAAGGATGGGACTGTGATAAGAGACTGAATCATTACTGACAAGAAATCTCCACTGATGTGCTCAGAACTCTGCTCCTACCCCAATTCTAGAGAATTGAATAATGGTGTTTTTCAGTGTGTGATCTTACAAAGAATGCTTAGTGATCACCGTTCACTTTATTCTCACAAATCTGCTCCCCGAGCATTGGGCATTGGAATTTATTTAAAGGTGGAGGGTGCAGGAGGGGCAGGAGGAAATCAGAAATGAGGGGCTTCTCTTAAATTAACTTGACCCTTTATCTTTAATGTTATGAGGTCTTTAACTTTATGACATCTACTCAACTGACGTCAGAAATATTAGGTGGCAGTCTCCAGCCAGCCGTGCATTAGAGCGTGACCTCCAGATGTCAAAACTGCTTTGTGCTTCAACTTTTCCAGCTGCAAAATGATCATAATATCTTTTCCTTTATCTTCCTGGGCTGACTTGAAAATAAAGAATGTGTGAGAAACTTATCCCGAGCACCTTCAAAGAAAGTTATTTTGACATGTCAGTGATTGCACCTTTTGTTCAGGGTTGCCCACTCCTGCTCGTCCAGCCGTGCCCCACCCTGGCCATGGGCTTGCCGTCCACATGTGCGCTGTGAAGGCTGGGCAGGCTTCCCTGGCCTGCATTCCCCGCATATTTACTTTCTGAGTAATCCTGCCAGTTCCCCTGAATGGAAGAGTTGAGCTTTCACCGAGGTTTTTTGTTTTGTTTTTTCTTTTTTTTAAAGGAGTTTTTTTTTTTTTTAATAATTTTATTTATTTTTCTTCCCCCAAAGCCCCAGTAGATAGTTGTATGTCATAGCTGCACATCCTCCTAGTTGCTATATGTGGGACGAGGCCTCAGCATGGCCAGAGAAGCGGTGTGTCAGTGGGGGCCCGGGATCCGAACCCAGGCCGCCAGCAGCGGAGCGCATGCACTTAACCGCTAAGCCACGGGGCCGGCCCTTCACCAAGGTTTTAAGGGTTCTGCCCACACAGATATAGAAGTTAGCCGCCTACAGAACAGTCATGCGCCTCATAACGATGTTTTGGTCAACGACAGACCACATACCAGGACAGTGGTCCCATAAGATTAGTACCCTAGAGCCTAGGTGTGTAGTAGGCTATACCTTCCAGGTTTATATAAGTACACTCTATGATGTTCGCACAATGATGAAATCTCCTTATGACGTATTTCTCAGGACATGTCCGCCTCGCATGGCTGTACAGGAAGAGGAGAGGCGCTCTACAGTTTACGCGCCTTAAAACATACACAGCGCCTAACAGAGACTCGCCTCGGGCTCTGTTGCCTGGGGTGGAAGTAACAAAACATTTCCCTCTGCTCCTTTAGAGTTACGGTGTTAAAGCTAAAAGGACCTTGCCAGGCCCTGGTCCAAGTGTCTCCATTCACACATGAGGAAACTGAGGCCCAGAGAGGGGAAGCCCTTGTCCAGGGCCCCACAGCAAGAACCTGACCCCAGGTCTGCTGATCCACAGGCCACAGTTTTCCTGCCACTCCATTCTGCTTCTGGAAGGCCGAGCCCAAGGCAGCTGACCGGAACCACATCAGGGGGATGAGAAGGAGGAGATGGTATCGCAGAAGTGATGGGCAAGGAAGGAAGCTAGGAGAAGCTTGGCCAGGGTCTCCTCCCTCAACTTCATCTGCTTTTCGGGTACCCCTAGGACACCGAAGCAACTAGACACTTGGAGGATTTGGGGTGTTGCCCACAGGCACTTGCTCCACCCTGAGCCTGAAGCCATGGTGGGCGCCAGGCTGGATACTGAGTCCCCGGGGCATCAGACAATGAAAATAGGCCCCGGTACCTCCACTGTCACATTAGGGAGTGGGCCGGGGCTGGACAGGGAGCTCAGGGTGCTCCGGCCCAGTGGGACAGTGACCCTGAAGGAGGCGTGGGATCCCCTAGGAGGAGGAGCCCAGGATGCTGGGCCAGGAGCAGCATGGAGGAGGGCAGGTGAGGCTGGTGGGCTTTGGAGTCAGGCTGACTTGGGTTTAAGGTCGAGCTCTGAGTGATGCTGAGCAAGTGACTTAACCTCTCTGAGGTTTATAGTAATTTCTTCATCGTGAGGTTAATATGAGGAACAAACGAGATGATGTTTATAAAATACCTGAGTGTTCAATAAATGTTAGCTAAAATCAAAATTAACAGTAAGGGATCTGGTGGCAGCAGGTGCCAGGGCACCCTCCCATACCTGCCCCATGTCTGGCATCTGGTCTCCGTAGCACCAGTGGAGGTGTGGTCAGTCTCCCCCAAGCCCCCACTTTACAGATGACGTCAGCAGGCAGAGAGGCCAAGGAGCTCCGCAGTTAGAGCACTCTGCAATGGCGCCGTTTCTCATCCCACCTTTGGTCCCTTTCTTCCAGATTCATGTGCTCCCAGCTGCCCAATCAGGTCCTGAAGAGTATCAGCATCATCGACAGCCCCGGCATCCTGTCCGGGGAGAAGCAGCGCATCAGCCGAGGTCAGTGCCCACCCCACCTCATCCTCACCCAGCACTGGCTGAGGCTCTCTCTGATGTTGGTGGAGGACTTCAGACCCTGACGTGTTCTATCTATCCTCCAGGGCACCCCCAGCTTGCCTGGGCTCCAGAGCTATAGGGACCCCAAGAAATAACTGGGAAGTTATAGCATCAAAGGTCACTGGAGAAACTTTCTGGAGCCTTAGCCATAACCTCTTAATTCCTTTAAACACTATCATCTACCCACCTCAGGTAAATCTCCAGACTTTAAGAGGGGACATATCGCTCGCTAACCTTTCACTTAGACACACGTGACAAAAAATAAAGGAGGCCAGCTAGTCACCACAAGGGAGAGAAGCCCTCCCAGCTGCTCTGCCCCTCTCCCCTGCTGGCACATGTTCCAGCCCGGTTGCCGTTGCAGCTCCTTCCACTGAGTAAGCTTTGCTGGTATCTGCTTGGTGCCAGACCCCGTTCTGCGCACTGGGGATGCAGCAAAAACAGATGCGGTTTCTGCCCTCAAGGAGCTCACGTTCTAATGAGGAAGACAGACGTTAATCAAGTTATCACAGAAATAAATGGAAAAGGAGAGCTGGGATCAGCACTCTGAGATGGGTGCTGGGGGCCGTATATCAGAGGACCTGGCCTGGCCTTGGGGTTTTGAGAAAGGCTCCCCAGGGGAAGTGACATTTGAGCCAGAATCTGGAGGATGAGTAGGAATTACCTAAGGGGAGCTCCAGGGTGGGGAAGGAGAGACTGTAAGGCATTCAGAGGAGATCTACAGACTCGAAAATGCTTGCAAAGAACAGTGATGTCTGGGCTTCTTCAGCCTTCAGAAAACAAGGCTGAGACAGTAACTGTTTCCAGACCCATGCATTGTAGTTAAACAGATGGGCCTGCTGTCCCTCCCACCCTCCTGGAGAAAGGGGCCATCGGGGGCAGACCAGAGGACACAGTTTACTTATAGAGAGGAAATTCCTGACCGGAAGTGCACTAGGGTGGATTCCTGCATCACAGAGACAGGTCAAGTCCCCTTGCCCCGGCCCTTGGAACAAAGGATCATCCCTCATGTTTTGCTGGGAGGGAGAAGATGGAGCAGATGAATTGCTGCTGTCACTTCTCACTGATAACTCTTCACAACACGTCAGTAAAACTGTGTTGAGAAGTGCTGGCGTGCCAAGGTTGAGCAGTGACCTGTCTGGGGTCACGGCCACAGATTAGGGCCAGCCAGTGAACTCCCAGCGGTCCTGAAGCAGAAGCACAGTTACACAGGCAAGGGACGTGCCCAGGAGCCAGAAAGCAAGGGTCCTATGACGGGTAAAGAAAGGGCTTCCAAGGTCTATAAGCCGTCCCGCCAGTGGCCTTTCAGAAGGGCTGACCTGCAGCCTCCGTGGACTCGCCGAGAGCTCCGACTGCCTTGCTGAGCCTTCAACCATTAGGTCGGGGACTCAGGCCATTAGGTCGGGACCCTGAGGCCTCCAAGAACATTGCACTTATAGAAAAGGCCCGGTTAATACTATTCTTCTCTCTTAAATATCTTTGTTGGTTTTATTTTGTTATAAAAGTAATATTTGTTGTACAGGATTCAAACATTGAATACGGGTGTACAAAAATCTCTCTCTGTCACAAATAACAATTATTAATGGTTTTCTCTGGCTCCTTAGAGACTTCTTACACGTATACAAACATAGCGTGTTTAATAGCAATGGGATTACCATGCACATTTTCTACAACTTGTTTTCTCCGTTAACAGTCTATCACAGACATCATTCCATGCTAGTATATTCAAATTACTTTATTTCTTTTAGCAGCTGCTTAGGTTCCATCAAAGGGACATAACATAGTTTAACTAATTTGTGGATATTGTGATAGTTAATTTTTCACTCTTACAAATAGTCTGACAGATAGACATCTTTTTTGTATCTTTATGCCTCAGTGCCAATAGATTTTTTTTTAAGAGGCAGTTTAGGACCATTAATTTGGCCCCATAGAAGTTGCTCTGCAAATAAAATGTTTTGTTTTAAAAGGAAAATAGAGCAAAGCCACATTCCACAGCTTTTCCTAGTTGCCCCAGTTTTGCTCCATCTACATGTCTGACTGAATGAAGTATGCTGGGGAAATATGTGGTCCTGGTGATAAATCTTTCTTTTTACCTCTAAATTTTTAGACCTCTAGATTTTAGCTTCAACCTTTTCCATTTCTTTTCATTGGTAGACCTTTGGCCAATTCTAATCATCCATAGTCTTTGGGGTTTCTCGTATGTTTAGTAATCCTAAGTGTCTTTCAAACTGTAGCTCCTTTCCAGTAGTGCTGCATGGCATAATGCTTTCAGGATGCTATGAAGATCAGTTCTTTTAAATACTTTATAATAATCTGACTCATATCCTCATCTGACTTGCCGTGGCATGTACTTACTCATATCCTAGCATAGAAATAGCACATATGGTTCCAAGCAGTCGGCTGGTCCCTCCACCCCGATAGACACAGCAGCTGGTGGGGCAGGACTGAGAGCTGCAAACAATGACAGTGCTACCCACTGCGGCCAGGGCTCCCCGGCTTGAGTACCACACTGCGTTTGGGCACAGCTGGTGGTTGGAGTCACTCAGCTGACAGTTTCAAAACATTCACCCCAAAGAATATGTACTGTTTGAAAGCTGCTTTCAAAAGCAGCTTTTCAAGAAAGTTTAGACGATTGCAAACAGTGCTACATTCTCACACATGCTCATATCTGCCTGCATCCCCCCTGCTTCATAAATCACAGCGCCACCTGGGCCAGTCATTTATGTCAACACTGGATGAGGTAGTGGGTACAAACTGTGACCCCGAAGAACATTTCGAACATCTACCATGGACTTTATTAGTGGAGCTTTTCCTCCCTTACAGCTGTTTTGTCTGTGGAAGAGGAAAGGTGGTGGCTGCTATGTTTTCTCCTTGTCCCTCTATGCGGTTGATGGATTCACGCTCAACCAGCAGAGTCTCATCAGGCAGGTCCCTCCTACACATTTAAAGACCCTCCTTGAAGTGCGTGTCTGTGCCAGCAGTGTGAGAACAGCCACTGTGTACAGAGCCCTCGCTGTATGTCTACACTGTGCTGATCATTGAGGATTCGCTAAGTTAAACTTACATACGATCATGCTCAGACAGAAGCTCAGCCCTCGCCCTCCCTCCTCGGGGAAAGCAGGGCCTTCCAGTGATCATGAGAATTCTTTCTCCAGCTGCTGGGCAGATGGGTGACTGAGCTTGACATCTGGAGAGCGGACAGAGTAAAAACTGTTGACGAGCTGCCGCTTTTGGGGAACAGGCCCAGAGGATGAGGGCTTTGGGCAGTTGCTGATGGCTGAAGCTACTGTGTGGACCCAGCCCACCCTCTAGCCTGCAGGGCTGTGCAGCCTGGCTGAGAGCATGCTGGACACGTGGTGTAGCTGCAGGAGGAGGTGGTGAGCGTGTGGTAACTGCTGAGCACCCCCAGGAAGACCCACTGACTGCCCCACACCCAGAGTTCTCCTCTTCATTGTGGGACAAGGCAGATGGCAGGTGGGGTGGTAGAACATTATGCTGCTTTGCTGGGGGTGGAATGGGGAAGGAGGGCCCTGAACTGGGGAGCTGGCCTCACATCACCCCTGGTAGCCCTCGGGCACCACAGGGCATTGCCCAGGTGTCCTAGAGCTCTGGGGACCAGATGGTCTAGGGAGGATGTACCCCAGGAAGGAGTCCGGATGGCTTAGTGGTGAAAGCAGAAATGGGGACCATGGACCTGGGGTTCAGTCATGTGGCTCACCTCGCCTGTGGCTCCATTCTTCCTGTTCGTTCTTCTCTCTCGTGACATCATAAGCCTGGTTCCTTTTTATTCTGTGCTGAGTAGAGGGGGCAAGTATGATTACAAGGAGGATAGGGTGTTTCGTAGTCATTGCTTTTCTCTAAGCCAAAGTCATAGGTGACAAGAAGAGACACTTGACATCTCTACATGATAGATATTCATATTTTGTGGTGTTAGGTTTGAGGCAAAACATGGCAAACCCACTCTTATGTTAGAAGTGACCTTTACCAATTACAGTCTGTCTTAGCACAGCCTTCTCATCAGCAGAATCTTAACACTGAGCCTAGAAGTCAGGTCTATACCCCCTGCCTCCCTGCTCTGTGCTCCAGAGTAAAACAAGAATGCATGGTCAGCATTGCGGGGGAGTAAACGTTATCTAAATCTCCTGTTTGGGAACTCTATAAATAAAACCCGGTAGGATAATTGATTTTGGAGAAATTTTTGGTATTCTACTCCATATGGAAACCCATTACCCTTCAAATGTTCCTTAGTTTAATTACAGTTAGCAGAAAATCTTTATGAACAAAAGTTTGAGCTTAGTACTCCACGGTAGCTTTCTTGGCTGACATAAAGAATTCCCACCAAGTGGGGATAAACATGTTCTGATTTATTTATAATAATAATTTATTCAAATCAAGTAATAGCTACCTAAAAGTCCAACAGACTTCTTGATTCTTTTCTTGTAGCCAATAAAAGAATGTTGGGATTCTTAAGATTGTCTAAATTATTTTCCTGAAGTGGGTGGGTGGAATCTGACTTGGATCATGCTTGAGAACATCCTTGGCCCCAAGGACGGCATCCAGATTTTTGACTCTACGTGATGAGAAAAGAGCACACTTATCCACACATCCTTATTTTCATTCCCAGTCTCTTATTATTCTGACTCCTGGACTGTTTGTTCCCTAAAATACTATTCCTTTCTTGCTGAACCTAAACATCATCTAGGATTTATTTCTGGATTCAGCATGAACGCAAGTGTGTTCCTGACTACTTGGTACAGACCTCTGGGTTCTGGCTCCAATCATAATGTCCCTGTCTGACAGGAGAACACTGTGAAAAATTCTAATGTGGCAGCTTGTGTACTTGTCCATCTATTTAGCACATAGGCATTTGGAAGGTGCTGTTTTAACAGCAAATAATTATTCCTGTGGTTTCCTGAGAGTATGAGGCTTTGTGTAGCCTTCAACAG